ATAAGTATGTATGTATGTGTGTACATACCTACTTACAAATGTACTACGTATTCTGCCGAGCCTGCGTGGGGCTGACTATTTATAGAATCAAGTTCATTGTCGATGATTTTCATAAAATTGCTTTAGCCTGAAGCTTTGGCCGTTATTTTTAGCATCGGTATTTTTGAAGCTTTAAAAAATTTATTATTTCATACCTTTTTTTTTGAATAATAAGTGATATTCCAAAGACTTGACATCAACTTATCGTCTTCTGAAATGCAAAAGGACGTAACAACAACGTAACTGAAATGTAGAAAGTCAGGACTAATAATTTTTTTTCCATAAAATGATGTGGGAATTGTAATTCGATGAAATATAATGGACATATCAATCAAAATTGAGTTGTGAATTTTGTATTAGTTACGCCTCTTTGCATTTCAGGTGACGATATACATATTTTGGGATTCAGTACTGCACTTATATAAATTTCCTTTACAAATTTAGCATATTATCGGCACGAAGAAATAAAATTCGATTTTACGAACGTTTTATCCTTGCAATAACACGCTTGGCTTTCACGACACATGTATCATTGAGAAATCCATTCCTAATCCAAATTAATTATTCTTTAATAGTTTTAAGTAATTATTTACTGTTCTTTAGTCTGTAATGCTATCGTACAACCATATACTGAGATAAAAAAAAAATACCTGTACATATCGTACACCTAGATCTAAAGTGAGCTAACTCAAAATTCAGAGAGGGAAATTTAACTGCTTGTGGATCATACAGATTCAACGTAAATAATACAAAAGCAAGTATACCAGTAGTTTTTTAGTTAATTTAATGTATATCATCATGAAGAAAAAAATATTTCCATTAATTGGATGTAAGTCCTATGAATTGATTTATGCAATAAAAAAGCGCTTTTTTTATACCTTTCATGAGCATGAAATGGTATTATAACTTTGGTCCGATGTTTGTAAGTACCAGAATAAGAAAAGATAGACCCATTAAAATGTATACTTAAATGATCAGAACGGCGTGCTGAGTCGATGTAGCCATGTCCGTCTGTCTGTCTGTCCGTCTGTTTGTATGCATTCTAGTCTCTCAGTTTTCCGAGATATCCAGATCAAATTTGGTAGGTGGGTGTATTATTATAATGTATTAATCATTTGTCGGAACCGGAAGAATCGGACCACTATAACATATAGCTCCCATACAGCTGATTGTTCAGATATGAGATTCTTTGTTATAACCTCTGCATGCAGCTAGAAACATAAAATTTCGCACTATTTTCACACCTTATCAACAGGAAGTTTACAGTAAAATTAACAAAGTTCGGGTCACTGTAACCTATTTATTGTCCCTCATACAACTGATGGTTCAGATATGGGGTTTTACTGTAAAACTCCTTTATTTGGACAGATAAAACCGATAAATTTTGTAAGCTATTTTATAAATAATAATACAAAGCTACTGAGAAAATCGTCAAGATCTATGCTATATAAGCTTTATCTCTTGTACCACTGATTGTTCAGTTTGCAGTTTTTGCGATCTGTTAAATTAAAATTTTCAGACGTTCATGAAAGGTATAAAGCCTTCGGCATAGCCGAAGACAGCGCTGCTCTTACTTGTTTTTTTTTTTTGAGTTAATTACACTTTAGAACAGAGGTGGGCAGCTTCGACAGAGAATTTTTGTAGTGTGCGAGAAATTGATGTCACTGTGGGCGTGCGAACAATTCGTGTGGTTGAATGAAGGTTTCGCTGCCTTCTAAAGCAGAGCGCCTTCTAAAGAGGCGCCGCCCAGTTCTGCTTTAGAACTAGGTGTGCGATATGTACGTATCGTTAATCGTTATCTTAATTCACAAAGGCCCTAACCAACACCTTTATCCAAGCAGCGTTTTTCACAGATTTTGGTAGGACGGATTAAAATATACCTTCAATAAAAATTGTATAGTGGAAGTACCTAAAACTACCGACTTATATGCCGCTTTTTGAAAATCCCTACCTGCCTTTGATACTCTTTTCATAATGTCGTTGTTCACACTTGCCTGGTTATGTTGTTGTTGTTGTTGTAGCGGCACTACTAAGCCCCGCCTGTTTCGGGTCAACTTTTAATCATTATCGTCAAGCTCAACTAACGGTAGGCCCAGGAAACGAGCTGTTTCGATGGGGTCGGACCAAAGGGAGAGGGGCGTTAGTTGAGTCGGATTGAGCTGGCATGAGAAGAGGTGGTTGGTGTCGTGGGGGGAGTCTCCACATGCCGGGCACTCATTTGGGATGTTTGGGTCGAGTCTGGACAGGTAGCTGTTTAGGCGGCTACAATATCCAGACCGTAACTGAGCCAGACTTGCCTGGTTATCTGGTTATGTGGCTATAACAATTAAATATAGTTAGAATAATAATTTTTAACCAGGGGACCAGGGGGGTTCTATGAAACTGTGAAGTGAAAATGAAAAGTTCAACGTCAATGAAAATTAAATTTTTCCACTTAATCGTTCTTTATATCAATTTAAGCGATTCTCGATCATTAAAGGCTATTGCATTAACATCTAGCAAGTAATTATTTAATCAATTATTGTTAGTTTAATACAATGATATTCCTTATCACAAAATAATGGTTTTGAAAAAACGCCCAGCCAGCAAAATCATCGTAAACGAGCTCGTAACTGGATATTTTCTCGAAGAAAAACCAGCTAAAAGGTCGTTTATGATAGCCGTTTACGATTCGTTTTCAAGTACTTTTTCGTTTGAAATTGTCGAGCGCCTACGAACAGTCGTAAACGGATCGAAAAAGCATTCATATGCGAATATTATATCGTCGGTCCCTACGAAGAGTAGCACATTTTACTATTCGCGTGGAAGACTAGCACATTTCAGATTTTTGCGTTAAAGACTAGCACATTTTAGATGTTTGCGTGGAAAAGTAGCACATTTTAGATGTTTGCGTGGAAAAGTAGCACATTTCACTATTTGCGTGGAAGAGTAGCACATTTAAGGCTTAAAATAAATCCTAAAGGCATAATTTATATTGGAAGTTAAGTGCTTATTTTATATTTCTATAATTGTATTATAAAATTCATGAACTTCAGATGGTATTTAGCGTTTAGTTATCATTTGCTGGAGATCATCCACTTTTGTTTTTTTTAAGGCATTTTTCCCTTAAGCTTTATGCAATTCATATTGTTTTATGGTTAACCAGTATGTTCAATTTCAATTAAAATAAAGGGCTTTAAATCTATATACTCAAAAAATTCTGAGAAAATAATTTTGAAATTTGGATGAACATTTTTAGATTTTTTTTTAGTTTTCTACAATGTTTTAAATTTGGGTTTATATGGATTTTTTCAGAGAATGAACTTTATTTTAATGAAAATTCTTAAAAATAAATAAATAAGCATAAGTGGAAAGCAATATCACTTTGAAATGAGGTGCTCTTGATATGACTGCATATACATTAGGGTGGTCCAAAAACAGTAAAGTCGGAATTGTAATGCTCTCAGCCCCTAGGATTGTTCTATATAGAAAAAAAGCATACCCCTATTTTTTTTTTTTTTGAAATCAAAAAATATTCAGAGGTCGCTCAAAGCGCTCAAAGTTTTCCATGCACTTTTATAAGTATGGGAAAAAACAACTTTTCGTAGAAATGGTATAGAATTCTTGAAAATTAAAATTTTTCCATCGGAAAACTCTGGTTTTCTTCAGGAGACTTACAATAATAATATCCAATTATTTATTTAACCTTTTTTTAATACTAACGATTTTCTATTTGTCCCCCCATTGCATTTTTGGGGATTTTTGTGGGTTTTTGGCAGACCTATAAATTATAGTTGCGATGAAAAAATGGTTAAATAAAAAATTTGGTATTATTACTGGGAATCTTCTGCAGACGAAAAGAGTTTTCCGATAGAAAAATATTAGTAAAATTTATATGTATTTTGTTTTTGCTTTGGCGGCATAAACTGTCAAAATCTGTAAATGTGTGTAGAAATTCAAACAAAATTTTTCAATTTGATAGTTGCGATCCCGTATGAGTCCGGACTAGTCAGAATCAGTCAGATTTTACTGGAAATCGATCCCGTACTCGGTTCTCTGACTATTGAGAGGACAAAAAAGAGAGTAAATGCGGTTCTGTCTCTGTCAGAAGTTACCAGTTTTAGTCCGAGAATTTTTTGCTGGTAAATTCTGGTAAATGTGTCAAACAATCAGCTGTAGTGTGTTTGGCAACACAATTGTAAACAAAAGAAAAGTGCACTCTGCTAATTCATGTTGAAAAGTATTTAATTACTTGTTTAGGTGGATTTTAAACAATTTGAAAGTTTTTTTTTTATTTATTTATATGTGTGAGCTGATTGTGTTTACGCATAAAATAAGCAAAAATTTACAACCAAAATTTGGAGGCTATGTTGAAGTTGACAGAAGTTACCATTTTTTACTAGAAAGCGATCCCGTACTTTTCAATGTTACTCTCTCGCTCTGAGCGAAGTTTTATTTTTTGACAGTTTTACTAGTCCGAGTCCGAGGAATACGGAGTTGCACCTATAAATTCGCCTTGGTATTGACAAGAATATTTTTTAATGCCCAAGCTTGTCATGAAAATGTTTGCCATTTAATGCCTAGTGGAAATTAGTTACGCATATAAGGCATTCGCATCAATTATATCATGATACAAAAATGAGCCAATATGTAATACACAACTTTAGACTGGATATTTGAGGTAATTTTCTTGAGAGCTGGATTCTAAGCTTTAAGAAAAAATACACGATTCCTACTTTTTGCTTGAGTTCGAAAACATTAAGTCTTCCAAAGCAGAGAATCTTAATAAAAAGAATTTATTGTCACCGATTTCGGAATAGGATTAGAGAAAACTAATTTTACTTACCGTTCTTAATATTGATCGCAGAAAACTTGTTCGGTTATTGTATTGATGTACCTTACTTACATACTATGTACATATACCATATAAAGTACCTACAAAATGCATTATAAGTAATATTTCTACCCTCCTTTGCTTGCAGGCACAACCAATTCGTGTTGTTGTTACTGGCGCTGCTGGTCAAATCGCCTACTCGTTGCTATACATGATTGCCCGTGGTGAGGTGTTCGGTAAGGATCAACCTTTGATTTTGCATTTACTCGATATCCCCCCAATGATGGGTGTACTCGAGGGCGTTGTTATGGAATTGGCAGATTGCGCGTTACCACTACTTCGCCAAGTCATCCCAACCGCTGACCCAGCGGTAGGATTTAAAGATGTGTCCGCTGCCTTTTTGGTAGGCGCTATGCCACGGAAGGAGGGCATGGAGCGCAAAGATTTACTCTCTGCCAACGTGAAAATCTTCAAGGCACAAGGACAGGCTATAGATCAGCATGCTCGCAAGGACATTAAAGTCTTAGTTGTAGGCAATCCAGCTAATACCAACGCACTCGTATGCTCACACTATGCGCCATCAATTCCACGTGAGAATTTCACCGCCATGACACGGTTGGATCAAAATCGTGCCACCGCACAGATCGCCGCCAAATTGGGTGTGCCAATTAATGCCGTCAAGAATGTCGTCATCTGGGGAAATCATTCGTCCACCCAGTTCCCCGATCCCAGCAACGGGATTGTTGAAGTCGATGGTGCTGTCAAGCGTGTTTGGGATGCTGTCAATGATGCTGCCTTTTTACAGGGTCAATTCGTAGAGACAGTGCAAAAGCGTGGCGCCGCAGTGATTGCTGCACGTAAAATGTCATCGGCCATGTCCGCAGCTAAGGCTGCTTGTGATCACATGCACGATTGGTGGAATGGTACTGCATCTGGTCAATTTGTCTCAATGGGTGTCATCTCTGATGGCAGCTACGGGGCGCCCAAGGATGTGGTATTCTCATTCCCTGTGGAAATTAGCAATGGAAAATGGAAGATTGTACAGGGTTTGCAATTGGACGACTTTGCCAAATCCAAGTTGGCCCTTACTGGCAAGGAACTGGAAGAGGAAAAGGGTGAAGCGATGGCCGTATGCTCCGCGGATTGACTAGTTTCAACCGATTCTAAGCTGTAAAAAATACAAGCAGCATATTTCTATTGAATCGTAAATAAAAACAGTGTCCGAAAAATAAGAATTGAAGTTGAGATTTTGGATGTAGAATGTAGTATATTTTTGTGGACATCCAGACTAGTTTGTTCATTTACAATATAAGGGATTGTAAACATTAACATTTTGTGTAAATTTATGTATTTTTGAAATGCATGTAACTAACCAATGAAGATTGTTATTTGTTTCATTATAATTACATATGTATGTATAAACGAGATTGAAGTAGAAAAAATATACGTATGTATACACAATATATACACAAGTACCGACGATTGTTTAATTACATACAAAATATTAAAAAAGCAATGGGAATATATATATATATTAACTAATTTTCTTTCGAAATTCTTCTTTGTACAAAAGTAGTTCACTGATGTCCTAATAGATTTTAAAATCAAACTAAATCTACTTTCCGTGTTTATTGAAAAAGAGTATTTTGAAGAAATTCGCTACGGGAAATCTTCGAATTTTATAAAGGTTTAGAATTACTCGGTAAAAGCCAACAAATGTTAGACCTTTCTTCATTAAGATGAATATACATTCCTGCGGGATTTTGATGAAACAACTTAAGTGATTTTTAGACTTCGGATTAAAATTTTTTGTTGAGCTTCTATTAAAAGCACACATTAACTGCACGTAAAGAGAAAACGCCTAATCGAAATACATAAGATGTTTATCAAAATGCTACTAAATTGTATGTTTACTGGGCTCAAGCTTTTGTCGATCACAGGTTGATCGGTTTAACGTTGTTAGATCGATGCCGGCGAACTCAACTAAGGACCAACCCTTGAGAATAATTATTACGTTCCCTCAACTGTTGTAACCTGTAACCCAAGGATTCCCACCCCAGCATTATTCACCAGCATCTGGATTAAATTACCGTACGCAGTATTTCTAACATTATTTAACAAGTTTGCTGCTTACTTTCACTAAGAAGTCCAAAAGAACATAAATTAAAGTCGATTTAAGAACATTTTTGGGTTTATTACAAACGGCAATCGAACTTCAGTTGCGCTGCCAGTGTCTGAAATTGTATTAGAGATAACAATTGAAAGAACTGAGTTGCTTTATTGGCAACTGTTGTTGTTATTGGCAACTGCCTATTTGTGGTTGACGCGAGAATTTTGCAGCTTTTTTAAATTCAAGCCTGGTTTCTTCCTATTTCGAAATTGTATTATCTGTAACTTTACAGCAGTATACTATAGTTGGTGTTCTAAATATACATATATTTTCAGTGGCTTGGTCCATCGGCAACCCAACTGTGGTTGCATTGCTATCCATAACCGACCCATTTGTTTTTTATTCGTTTTTTTTTCGGCATATACAATTTATTTGAGAAGGATCTTTCTATACATTTTCAAAGAATTAAAATTTTAATATAGCTCGTTGATGAATTTCAAATATATCCTCTCTCTCTGTGCTAAAGGCAATGTATACCAATGTTAATTCAATTGATTAAATAGGGCTTGTTCATTATTTATGTACGTGGGTGATAGGATATTAACTCAAAGCAGCCACGCGTAATCTGTGCTCAATATATGCAAGTTTTCGTAAATTAGAAAGTACATACATATCGCTCATTTAGTGTCATAATCCAAAAATTACGTATTTTGAGGTAAGTATGCAAAAATTACCGCTATTTCTTCTATGTTTTATAAAAGTTTCATAGCTGCATCGATTACCACTATCTCTCTACTAGAATAAAATATGTATTCGTTTTTACTACGGGAGTATGTGTAAATTCCAAACTTGAAAGCCGTTTATCTTGTGTGCTGCTTTTTTGAGTTGTGACACTATTGAAGAAAGTGAGCGATATGTTAGTAGGTAGCTAGGCCAAACGCTATGATCCTTTAATGTTTTATGATTTTGCAATTCAATTAGGATAAAGTATATCATAATGACCCGGCCGATAAATTAAGAAAACTTTTGGCGTACTTCCCTCTGGGAAATCGTGCGCTTTTACATGTGTGTCTCCACGATCCATATATTCTACGCGTACACCCACGCCTAAAGCAGTGCATAATGCTATAATATGTATATGGTCCGATTCTTTGTACATTGGCTCAACTTCTTGATGACGAAATTCCTCAATGGTAAAGTTGCCTTCAATGAAATGCTGATAAAAGTCAGCCTCCTCTTGTAGTTTACCAGAGGTTAATAATCTCAAATACACAACCACATAGTCGGAGTAACCTTGCTCATTAAATACTTTATGTAGCTCCTCACCCATTGACTCTGTCGAACCGGCTGCCGGATCTACACGCTTGACAACTTCCATGAACTGTCAAAAAACAAAAGGTGCAACATAAACTTTTAAATAATTATAAAATGTCGGTATCATTACCGTATCATGAAAATCTTCCAGAGTAAAGCTAGGGAAACCTAATTGCACCAGCTTATCTTTTGACTTGTCCGCCAAATCTTTAAATCGTTGATACTCATCTTTATTGGAAATTAAATGCTCTAGGTAAGCGTAAGCGAATGCCCGGAAGAAGCAATTTCCATCAGGCCTAGTACGCCGTAAGAATTTATATTTGCTAGCGAGTTCTTGAATTTTTGAAGTGAACACTGCATCGCCTAGATATTCAGCATTAAGGCAAGTTATTGGCAATTGTTCACTGACCAATGGTATGGAGTCACTTATCTGCAAAAGAAATTGTTAATTAGTTGATTTGTATGTTGGAGGGTACTACGGGTGGCCCATTAGGACTGATACTAGCAAAACATTTTGTTCCTTAATTAAAATGCCTATGGTAAACGTACCTCCTTTTCAATTTCGCGTTGTTGCTGCATTATTAATTCATCACGATTTGTGTTATCATTTTGTTGAACTTTATCCATTTTATCTATGAAATAAGCAAATTTTGTTTTCAAAATCAATAAGAACGCAAGAACAAAAGGCAATGTACGCGACCCCAAACTACTGTGAATTGCTACAAAAAAAGAAGAACGCCAAACGATTCCAAGTCGTTGGTGCTGCCACAATTTACAGATTATTTAAATAAAGTTTTTGTAGGTATCTCGGAAAACATCGATGATTTGCTTCGATGCATCGAAAATTTTCTACTCGATGTATAAATAGTCGACATATCGATGCATCGATGTTTTTTGAAAACTGAATTCTCTAGTACATTGAACCGTCGTTCCAGGTTTTCAATTGTACAAAAAAGAGAAGTGACTGACCAAAAAGTTGAAACGGCTCCAAAAACTTCCGTTGGAAACATACGTAGCTCAGTTGCAGTAATGTATTTAAATTTTGTACAATTTTGTTAATAATACGGCATTACCACGATTCGTAATTCGCACTCTTATTCGTAATTCGCTCTGCCATTCGTCATTCGCCTTGCCAATTACCTTCTGAATTACGTAATTCGCCATACAAAATTTTGAGAGCGAATTACCTCATTTATAAAAAACTCTGACCGAATAACCATGCGAATGACAAACGAATCGGTGCCTTCTCTAATATTTATCGGAAATATATCAAAGTTTTCACCGGCCTGGTCCCAATTGCTGGCACTTTTTCTAGTTATAGAATAATATTAATAAAATATTCTCTATATAAATTAAAATTGTTGATGATAACTTAAATTTTAGCTCCATCTTCGATATTTGCAGTACACAAAAATAATAATAAACAGCGCAGAACAAGAACAAGAACTAGAGCTGCCAAACGAATTACTAATGTGTGGCGTGGAAACAGTGTAATTCACGAATTACTTAGATAGCGAATTACGAAGCGTGGAAACATCGTATAACACATTTTGTTGGGAAACATTATCTGAAAAATCTTTGCAATTCGATGCATCGATGTATGCCCTTCGATGCATCGAAAAATATCGATGTACATTCCGATGCATCGAATTAAAAATTTAAGGTTATCGCAATCAAGCAGTTCATGATTACGATTACAGTAATCGAGAAATTAGTTTTGCTTTGAGCAAATTTGATTTTTATTTACCAAAATGGTTTTAAGTTATGAATTCGCATATTTTTTTGAAATTGATGTAACAATCAACACAGACTCGTGGTCGCAGTTTTTCCAATAAGGATTGACTTTGATTAACTGTCCGCCTTGATGTTGTCACACAAAGGGGAGGGACCTACAATTTTACATCGCCCCGAAAGGCTATTGTATTTTTTGGAGAAGCTGTTTTTCATGACTGAAATACACTCTATGGTTTGCTGTTGCCTGCCGAGGGGCGACCGCTATTAGAAAATAAACGTTTTTGTTTTCTATTTTTTAACTGTTTTACTTCACTGTATTTATTAACTGTATTACTTCAAATTTAAATAAATTTTACATACTTTTCGGTGAAAGTTCCGCTCATTTACTAACTACTAAACCTCTAAAGAAAATTAGAAAATCGCTATCAACATCTTCTTGATTACGATTACATTATTTGTAATCATTCTATTTTTACGATTAATATTAAAGTATTCGTTATCATAATTTTCATGATTACAATTATTGTAATTGTAATCTTAAAATTTTAAAGATTAAAACGCAGTTAGTCAACGACGTAGCGTAAACGTAAATTTACTGTTGATAGAGAGAGAGAGAGCCAGAATTTATGATTACAATTGAAATAATCGTAATCGTATATAATTTAAGGCTTACAATTAAGCAATCGTAACTTTAATGTAATTGTAATCAAAAATTACCCAGCTCTGGTCAGTACTACCAAACCATGCAGCAAACATAGCGGATCATAAATTGAACCAGATTTCTATCAGGATCATATCGTTGTTGTTGCATTTGTGTTCAAATTTTTTATCCGGATCCCGATTATTGCTTAGAAAACACCCAACCGACATTAGGACCTCATTAGTATAAATATTGGGCATCCGCACACTGGATTGCCCAGCCCGCCTAAACCCGGTTTTTTGTGGATAAGAGGGGGAAGAGAGTTCGAGTTTACCTCGCTCCTTTCAGTCCGCGAAAATCGCGGATTGACGGTGGACTGACACGCACACATAGACAACATGTTTTCTATTTCGTTTTATTTGCATGTGCCACATGCGTAGTTCATGTATACAAAACTGAAACCTGTTTTCGGCCGACGGCCCAGTCCAGTGTGCGTTCGAGTGGTGGACTGCTCAGTCCGACTGAGCAGGCTAGTGTGCTCAGGCCCATTAGGATTTTTGTATTACAAACAGTGTTGCCAGAACTTTTGGGCCGACCGGCTAGATTGGCAAAAAAAAGCGGATAAAAACGGCTAAAATGTTTTAGTGAAATTTCACATAGACTCTGGCAAACAACGGCTAAAATGTTTTAGTGAAAATTCACATGCTTTATTTAAATAAATCGCAAGAAACGAAAGACTAGTTAACACGATTAATTTATATCGAGTGTATATTCCTCATCATCAAATGAATCACTATTGTATATATCACCTGAATTCATTAATTTTAAGAGATCGTCATCTACAGTAAAATTACGGCAGCATTTTTCTTCACGTTTTAAAGCGTATCTTATATATAAAATAGCGTTTAACGTTTTAACGCACATTGGATTTCTTTGCTTAGTTTTTATTATATTCATTGAACTAAATATTCGCTCTACTTCTGCAATACTTATAGGCAAAACAAGAAAACTAAAAACTAGGTTGGAAAGGTCAGCAAAAGGGTTTTCTCCTAGGGCATTTCGAAATTGATAAACTTCGGCCCAAAATTTTACAGTTGAGTCTAAATTACTCCAGGTATGTAACGTTAACCGTTGCCATTGCATCTCTATGGATGTTATTTCGTCGGCATTATATTTGTGTTTTTGTTGCTGTAGTTGAACAAATACTTTTGGTTTAATTACTCTTAATGCATTTCCAACCGAAAAAAGTCAATTTTTTTAGTGTGGCAATATTTGTGGGGAGGCGTTGGCGTAATTCCTTTATTAAAGTGATAATAAAATAGCTACCATTTTCTCGAATTATTTTCTCGGCTTCGTGGTCAAAAGCGTTTGTGCTTACTTTTGTTTTTAAATACTCTTCAAAACTGTATAAATATACGTACTCTGATGTTCTGACCGACAACGAAAACACTTTGAAAACGAGTTTTGGGATTGTGGGCTGAAGGCTGTTCACACCGATTTTTAGTGTTTTCGTTGGCATTTCTTACATCCTTTGATTACAGTTTTCCTACACAAAAACCAAACGAAAATACTTCCCCTGCAATTTCTTTTCATTAACAACCTTTTACTTTCATTCTTATTTTACTTTGAGCAGCCAATTAAAAATAAATTCGAAATGGCGTATTAAAGATGATATACTTCGATGAATAATCAAAAAAACTAATGCAGACACCGACAGATTTTACATGGACGAAAACACAAGTTTTAGGTCGAACACCAGCTTTATCACGAAAACACGAAAGAAAGTTTCGCGATGTCGGTCAGAACATGGTATAATAGGAATTTCTTTATTGTCGTCACAGCATTGTCTCATGAACCAAAAATACAAGATCACGTAAGAACGCGACGTTGTATTTGTAACTGGTTTTGAGAAAAAAGTTTGCGAAAGCGGGTTCGTCAGCTGAGCGTTTGTTTACATCACAAGCACCACTATTTTACACTTTTATTCAAGTAAAAAAGAGTTAATTAAACATGACAACACATTTTAAAGCATTTTGTTGCATCATTTTACTTAAATTGTGCGTTTAAAGTGGCTGACAATAATTTTGGCTAATTTTGGTTTTCGTTGTTTTCTTTGCTTTGTTTACTTTTCGCTCGTTTTCCAGTGAAACAAGATGGCGTAGAACCCGCTAAAAAAATCGACTTTTTTCATTCTCTTGTTCTTACGTGATCTTGTGTCTTTCGTTCATGGCATTGTCTAATGTAAAGGCGCCGTATACTCATTTACACACGGCGATTTTTGTTGCCGCAACTCGTCGTTTGTTGGAGAGAGCGCGACGAGGAAAGGAGAGGGGCACCGAGTTGCTCGTGCTCGGGCAACACGCTTTGTGCTCTCGTTCGTCTGTGTAAATTGAGTTAGCGGTTCACAGCTGACAACAACAATTGCATACACAAAAATCGACGTGTAAATGATGAGCGTTTATACACGGAAACTTTTGTCGACGCGATTTTTCACATTCCCTTTTGGTGTTGCTCGTTTCATTTACACACGGCGATTTTTGTTGCCGCAACTCGTCGTTTGTTGGAGAGAGCGCGACGAGGAAAGGAGAGAGGCACCGAGTTGCTCGTGCTCGGGCAACACGCTTTGTGCTCTCGTTCGTCGGTGTAAATTGAACCGCTGTTCACAGCTGACAACAACAATTGCATACACACAAATAGCCGTGTGTAAATGAAACGAGCAACACCAAAAGGGAATGTGAAAAATCGAGGGGACAAAGTTTTCGTGTATAGACGCAGTCTAAGAAAATAAGCCATTGTGATTACAAGCGACATCTGGCGGCATTTTAACTGAAATTACCACTGCAAAGGAAGTTGGTAACCATATCATAAATAGACAACAAAAAAGCAAAAAAATCGCAACTGTTGATAAACACAGTGGAGTTAAAAAATTAAATATTTTTATTGAGTTGAGGGGAAATAGTATTTAAGATTCAAAAAATGGATTGTGAAGATATGCAGATGATTGAGGAGCCAAATCTCTCGGTGAGTATGTCTATATTGGTCTATATGTCCAGGACATCAAATGACTTTACTGCGTAGTTACTGAATGTTTGTAATAGCTAATACCCCCCTATTATGAATTCATACGATGCACGATAAACGTTTGCGTTCTGCTATTCTCTTACGAATCGATGTTGTATGAAATCCGAAAGTTAGCGTTGCTGATTTGTGCTGGTTTCCAAGGAAAAGTGAACAAAAACCACAGCTATTAACAACAATTCACCTGTCGGGCATATGAAAACTATAATACAAGAACTGATTTCATACGATACGCTTGCAAGCGTTTATCGTCTATCGTATGAAAATTCATAATAGGGACAATCTCGCCTTAACAAAGAATCTACATTTTTTAAACATGTCGTCATCATTGTAAGTACTCTATTTGAAAATTTTAGTTTTTCAAGAAAATCGAAGCTTGAATTTGGCACTGGAAACGCTGTTTAATTTGATTTGAAGGCGAAATTGAGGGAGGTTTTTTTTTAGCTAAATACATACATATATTACTTTACCAAATCAATAGCTAATAGTTGTTAAGCTATTTATTGTTAAGCAGGTTCATTTGAAAGCTAAAAAATATTAAAAGAGATTCCGAATAGGGTCAAATAAGGCCTTTTGCAATGATCCTGAAGATATACGTGTGTACTAGATTTATCAGGTTTATTTGAATGCCAGCATATACTTAGTATACTTATGTATACTAAGGAGGGCGTAAACTTGCTGTACTTTACTTCGAAGGATTCGTGCCTTATTTATTATACCTTTCTTGACCCTAAATAAGGGTATGTTTGTGAAGTTTATTGAAGGAATCAAAATGATGGCATGTGCCGTCTTTTTTCGTAAATAAATCTATTAAAGAAAAAATGATTTATCTTTCTAGGAACGTAAAGAGACTGGTAAACGCGGACGCAAACCTGGTCGCAAGGCTTCAACAGAAAAAGTCGATATAAGAGCCAAATTAGGTGCGTATGTACATATATATAAATAATGTATCTGTATAAACCAAATGCTTATTAATTTTTGACAGAACGTAGTCGCCAAAGTGCGCGGGAATGTCGTGCCCGCAAAAAATTGCGATACCAGTATTTGGAAGAGTTGGTGGCAGACCGAGAGAAAGCTGTAATAGCTTTGCGTGAAGAACTGGAGCGAGTAGGTCAATATACACAATTATTTATATACTTTAGTTGCTAAATTTATTCAACCGCTTTTTTATAGTACAAAAAGTGGAGCTCCGAACTAAGTGAAGGCAACATACCTGATGGTTTTCAACAGTTACTTGAAGAGGCGGGTGTGCTAAAACAGGAACAAGTTATGTAAAACTAAATACCTCGGTAGTTTGTAAGGGTTTTAACAGCTTTTGTTTTGGTTTTTATAACAATGTAAATTCTAATTGTGGGCTGCAAACAAAATTAGGGAGTTACAAGGTGTTGTATATTGTCGTATTATTGTATGTTGTAAACTTTAATTGGATTTTACACCGTTAAAAAATAGTTTATTGTGGTTTCGACATACGACAATACGGCATTTAAAACACCTTGTGAACCACATAAATATCAGAATAGTAATTATACAAGCTCTTATATGGATACATAATTATGAATTGTTTAAGTCTTCGTTTTCACGAAGTCACCATTGTTTATATAAAGTTAATAAAAGCACAGATTGATACACCGACGAATTAGACAATTAGTACTTTAAACAAAATAATAGCTAATCCGCGAGAATACTAGGATGAGTCGCGCAAAAAGGTTTAAAATAAACTTTCCGGAAGGACTTCGATAACTTCCATTGAAAATGTGTATTGGAATTTAGTGAATTCTTTTTCTGATTTATATTATTTCCCTCGAATAGTATATTCAGTTATGACAATTTTTCCCCTTTACTTGTTATTAACAACAGACCTCTGGGTTTAAAAGAACTCTGTCACTCTAATTTAGGTCGACCATGTTGTAGCAACCGCATACCAATTTCTCAAACCGTTTCGGAGAATGCTACTGGTCCTTGGTTAGATATACATACATATATCTATGTTGTGGTTACCTAGAAGTGACTATGGCGGCGTATACCATAACAAAGTCAAATATAACTGAATTGGCGGCATATCCATTTAGATGCCCAATAATCTCGACGCATTAGAGGTCAATATACACCGACGTTTTCCATTCTACTTTCAGCCAAACACTCCTTCTCAGAGATATGCATCAATGGGTAGTGATTCCTAACCTTATTCCAGGGAAACGTTGCTTCATCCCAGCGGTTCGCTAAATCGTCCAAATCGTTGTGAATTCGACAAACTTAACCACATACCCTTGCTTAAAACACTTTGTTGAGGATAATGGGACTTCATCATTCTCGTGTCATCAAAAGGTATGCTCGAAACTAAATGTCATTCCCGTAGTTTTGTTCCTAAGAACGCTTAAGGGCCCAAACCGAAATGAGCACAAAAACTTCGGGAGTGTTTTGACAAGAACGAAAGTGAGAACAAACTTATCGAGAACGTTCTCAACGGGAAATATATAAAAACAAAATCCTGAGGAGCGTTCCCAAAGCGAACCAAATTTCAACAAAACTTTCGATAATATTTTTAAGAGAATAAAATGTGAAGAAGTCTCCGAACGTTCTGTCAAAGAATAAAAGGGAAACAAAAGTCTAAGGAACTTTCTCGCGAAGAAAAATTTAGGAACTAAAGCCTCGGGAACGTCCTGGCAGAGAACGAAACGGGAACAAATTTACTCTGAACTGTTCGCGAAGAATGGAAATGTTTGAATATTGACATCAATAAAAAGGAACTGGAAGATAATTATGTTAATTAAGTCAACGAAAGACTTAAGACACGAACTTTTCTTGCACAGGAAATTAAAAATTCTTCCATAAATGGACAGTTCACCCTAATGATAAACGATCTGAAATGATCCAACTTTCTCTGGGTTAGAATTAACAAGCATGGTTCTTACTGAAACGATTTTTCATTCCAACACGCAGACCCCACTCTTAACGTTAAGTCCACAAAACTTTTGTTCTTTCTTTAGCAAAACGTTCATTTGAACACGTTCTCGATACTTTCGTTCTTATTGCGTTCTCAATGGAAACGATCCCGAAAATTTCGTTTTCATTCTGTTCTTATTAAGAACTTTCATGAGAATTTTGTTCCTTTTGTTTTTGAGAACCCTCCCGAGAGTTTTGTTCGCATTTTGTTTTTTACGGAAACGTTGCCGAACCTTTTGTTCATATTTTGTTCCAGTCGCTTATTCAGATCCGTATCTATTACGATAAATTCTCACGGAAAAGATAATGTGCAAAAACCCCTACTGAAAAGGAAAAAATAAATTGTAAACCGAAAATTCAATACAAAAACTTGAATTGTTTTAACCATAACCGAACATTTGTTTGTGTATATATTCATATGTCGGTGCTGTCAATTATAATTTCCACACTTAATTAGGAAACAAATAGGATCTCAACCTCAACACTTGAGGAGTGAGGGCAGGCTGACGTCAACATATTGCGACAACCAGCTATGGGAAGACACGCGCGGAGGGCTGGAGGGCAGAACGACCTCGCCCTATCGCGACCATCATCGACGCGAAGACCCACGAAGAAAGCCAGAGGGTAGATTGAACTCCTCCCTTGGCGCAGCGCAGCTATACGGAAATGATCGCAGGAGGCTTGAGGACCATATGACCTCGCCTTCGCACTCCCATCATCACTCCGAACCGCAGTCACGGTCTGCGTATGCAAGGAGACTCAACCGCAAGCATCCGGATGCCGACTCCGACAGCAGCTCAGATGGGCATTGGACCATCGCAACACACCGCAAGCAACACAAACAGGCGGGTGGTAACAACAGGCTTGAGGGCAGGACAACCTCGCCATCATATGCACGCGAGCATGGAACCTCATGGGGTAGGCTCGAGGGCATTGGAACCTCGCCTACACGAAATCAGCAACAACTGAACGCCAAACGTCATATTGACAGCAGAGGATCCACGCCGCCCCGTGTCCACCACCTTTCGAACACCAGGGATATAAACAGTCGATCCCCCTCCCCACCTCGCCACACGCAACACAACCCTAACGAGGAGAATAGGCTTGAGGGCCGCAAGACCTCGCCTCAGCGCATGCACCAGCACACGAAGGGTGAGGGCAGGCCTAGGGGCCGAATGACCTCTCCACATCACACGCATCACCGCACGGACGAAAGAGACGGGCGCGAGGGCCGTAAGACCTCGCCCTCTCGCACTAAACAACGCACAGATGATGGAGGCTGACGTCGCCCAACGCTCACACCGGTATACAAGCGAGCAGCGCAGACCAACAAGGGGAGAAAAGAGCACCCAGACGTCGGCGCGGCCCAGCAACCCCCGATCCAAGGAAACCAGGGGCACGAGACGACCCCAGTAGAAGGGGTCTCAGCGGCGCTGGAGTAGCACGCTACCTTCGATACCTGGCAAGAGGCATGAGTCCTGACTCTGCGCGGAGCCGAGCCGTGAGACCGGTACAGCAAGAAGCCCCAGCTGCAAAAACCACCGGCAACCAACGTGTGCCAACAGCAACAAAAAGGCAACCTGCAAAGCGTTGTAGAGGTCACCCGCCGGGGTCGCCTCTGAGAAACAGCGATCGGAAGAGGGGCCATAGACAAGACGAGCACGGAGTCGCTAACCAGAACCAGCAATCGAGCTACGCAGATGCAATGAGAGCAACAAGAATAGCGGTGCTACCCCAAGAGTACCCCGCCATGTCTCTCACTCCAGAGCAACTCACATCACTGCAAGACATCATTATGCATGAGGTTCTGAGGGGGTGGACCCGCCCACTTATTTTTACGGGCGTCTACTTCAGACCGGGTCTGCTATTGGTGGACTGCAGAGACGAGGCAACTGCCGAATGGCTGAGACAGACAGTACCGTCGCTCAATGGGTGGGAAGGGCCGGCGCTTTACACCAGGAGCGGAGATGACATACCACCAACCCATAATGTCACCATCTTCCTCCCATGGAGCATAGACAGGGGCCAGGACTATGCACTGGGTCTCCTGAGAGCTCAGAACGAGAGCCTCAACACATCACTCTGGAGAGTCATGGAGGCAAAAGTTGAGGACGGCTACCTACGGCTGAATGTGGCTGTCGATGAAGACTCCTTCTGTAGCATGAGACGGCAGAGTTTTAGGCTCAATTACAGGTACGGGAACGTCCTCGTCAAGCCATGGAATCAGAGAATTCCTGGGGACGCTGCCCACACGACGCCAACAGGTGCGGCATCAACAGGCACGGCAATGGCCGTCGATGAGCAGTGCGTAGAAGGGCCTTCGACCTCCGCAGCTGCCTCATCGATAGCAATTGATAGAGACAAAATTGTCGACGAGCACCGCGTGGAAGGGCCTTTGACCTCCGCGGCTGCCACCGCGACGACGGAGACAACAGGACGGGCAGCTCAACAAAATGTGCCGTCGACCAGGGAGCTGGAGGAGCTGGCAGAAGGCTTGAACCTTCAAAGCCCTGGCAGAGAACTGGAGGACCTAACGCTCTCAGAGATAGACGAGCCGATGGTCCAGAGTAAAAAATGAGAACAACACCACGCCTTAGGATTGCCCAGATTAACCTCCATCACGCGGTAGCTGCATCTGCAGTCATCACAAGGAAGTTCACTTCGGAGAATCTGGGCATAGTCTTAGTCCAAGAGCCGTGGGTGTATAAAGGTCAGGTGAAGGGCCTGACGGAGAAGTCTATCAAGGTAATCTGGGATTTATCATGTGATAACCCAAGAGCCTGTGTTATGTTAAAGAAGGAGACTAATTACTTCTGCATTTCAGAGTTTTTAACGAGAGATCTGGTGGCAATCCAACTAACGGTGAATCTCCACGGACAGGCAAGAGAAGTAGTTTTTGCTTCGGCTTACTTCGCAGGGGATGCCGCCATACCACCGGAGGAAGTCAGAGGACTAGTAGAGTACAGCGAGAAACTGCGCCTTCCATTGGTTATTGGATGTGATGCCAACGCACATAATGTACAGTGGGGCGGCACTGACACCAATAAAAGGGGTGAGCTTCTACTAGACTTTATATTAAGTAAGGACCTTAGTATTTGCAATGTAGGTTATAAGCCCACTTTTGTAACTAGGGTAAGAGAGGAAGTTCTGGGCGTTACTCTTGGGAACACCTGGGCGGATAATTTGATCTCGGACTGGAGGGTCTCCTCGGAGCCCTCAATGTCGGATCATAGGATTATACAGTTTTCCCTAGAGATCTCCATGAATAGAGCCACGCCCAGTAGGAATCCTAGGAGTACCGACTGGAACAGCTATCACAGACTATTACAGGCAAACCTAACCACCACAAACGTAGAGAACAGGGCTAAGCGATGGGTGGAATTGGAGGCGAAGGTCGGCAGCCTAAATGAGGCAATAACGGATGCCTATACATCAAGCTGCCGGCTGACTTCACCAAAAGGACAGAATAGAAACCCATGGTGGAACTCCAACCTCTCAGGTCACCGGAAAGAGGTCAGAAAACTCTTTAACCGTGCGAAACGTACTGGGAATTGGGATGACTATTTGTCAGCCCTAACCACCTATAACAAAGCGATTCGCGAAGCCAAGAGAAACAGTTTTAGATTGTTCTGTGAAGGCATCACCTCCACCCCGGAGGCTGCCAGATTGCACAGAGCACTAGCTAGAGGTACAGGTGAAAACCATATGGCGATAAAACTACCAGACGGCAGCTACACCAAAAGTGAGGAAGAGAGGGCCTTGGCCCTCCTGACAACACACTTCCCAGGAGCATTGACTCCGGTAGCAGAGGATAGTGATGAATACCATAAGCCGGCCTCGGAGGACTGGAAGACGGCAAAATGCCTGTTCACCTGGTCGACCGTACGATGGGCCATCGATTCGTTTGAGCCCTATAAGACCCCTGGGGTGGACGGCTTATGGCCGATTTTACTCCAGAAAGAACTGGACCTGCTTACCCCGATTTTAATCAAAATCATGCGGGAAAGCCTGGCACTAGCGTATCTCCCAAAGTCGTGGAGGAGAGCCTGTGTCAAATTCATTCCTAAGATAGGCAAGAAAGACTACTCGCTGGCGAAATCTTTTCGCCCGATTAGTCTAACATCATTCCTTATTAAGGCAATGGAGAAGAGCATAGACAACCACATAAGGTCCACCACCCTGACGTCATTGCCGTTACATCATGGGCAACACGCCTATCGTGCAGGTAGATCGACGGATACAGCGCTGTTCCAGCTGTCATCTACCATACGGAATGCACTTGAGGGGGGAGGTAACACTCTGTGCGTTTTTAGACATTGAAGGAGCCTTTGATAACACCTCACATGAGGCAGTAGATCGAGCTCTAGAGAGAAGGAACGTAGACATCCCGATCCGAAGATGGATCAGTACAATGCTGCGAACAAAACTGGCAGAGACCTAGCTGACAATAAAATCATACAGTTGATGACGGTAAAAGGCTGCCCGCAGGGGGGCGTACTGTCTCCCCTGCTTTGGAGTATACTAGTAGACGAACTACTTGAGTTACTATCCAACAACGGCATTTTGTGCCAAGGATATGCGGACGACATAGTAATTATAGCGAGGGGCAAATTTGAAAGCACCCTCTGCGACATTGTACAAAGAGCACTTATCCTAACTAAAAGATGGTGTGGCACGGTGGGCCTTAACATAAACCCCGCCAAAACAGCCGATATTACTTTTACTAGGAGAAGAAACCTTCCAGGCATGCACCCTATAACATTAGGAGGCATAGAGATAGAAATATGTAATGAAGTAAAGTATCTAGGAGTCATCTTTGACAGCAAAATGCTATGGAATAAGCACATTGAGTACGCTGTAACAAAATCCACACGAGCTTTAATGGTGTGCAGGAGACTGGCCGGCAAATCGTGGGGGTGCAGCCCCTACATCCTACGATGGATGTACACAATGATTGTCAGGCCAATAGTTACATATGGAGCAGTGGAATGGTCCGAGCGGGCTGCCCTCAACACGGTAAGGGCGTCGCTTTCCAAGCTGCAGCGACTGGCGTGCACCTGTATAACAGGTGCCATGCGCACCTGTCCTACTGCAGCCCTGGAGGTAATCCTGGACCTGTCGCCACTGCACATAGTCATAGAACAAACCGCCAAAAAAGCCCTCCTAAATTTCATGAGGGAGGGCACTGGAAAAGGCAAGGTGGTCTCGAGCAGACTCGGAGAGGAAATCAAAAGCAAGATTCCTATCTCTCAGCTCAATAGAGACGACATGGTTAGGCTAAGAACCTTCGAGAAAAAGTTTAGAACCGAACTAGGAAGCAAGGCAACCTGGAACGAGACAATGTTGGATAACACCTTTCGGCCCCATACCCGAAGGTGGTTCACAGATGGCTCCAAAACCGACGAAGGGATAGGGGCAGGAATACATGGCCCCCAAGCCAATATCTCCATTCCCCTGGGGAACTATCCCAGTATCTTTCAGGCGGAGGTTTTTGCCATCGACATTTGTGCGGAGGTAATTCTGCAGAGACAACCGAGAAAACAGCACATTGTCATATACAGCGACAGTCAGGCTGCACTGAGAGCCGTATCGTCGCGTGAAATTAATTCACGGTTGGTATGGGAATGTGTAAAGAGACTAAACGCCCTGGGGGAACTCAACACAGTACAGCTGATGTGGGTCCCGGGCCATACAGGCGTACAGGGAAACGAGGAGGCTGACAAGCTCGCTAGGGAAGCAGCAGCTACTCGACCCATAGGACCAGAACCCTACCTTGCAGTTGGTCCTCACACTATCAGGGAAGAGTTAAGAGTAGAGGAACGAAACCTGATCAGAACACATTGGAAGAATACGCCTGGACTAAGGCAGGCGAAAGAATTTCTAGGAAGCTATAATCCCAGAATATTCAGAAAACTAATTACACTCAACAAGACTAATTTAAGATTTATTACAGGACTGCTAACTGGTCACTGCAGGCTGCGGGCCCATATGCATACCTTAGGGATTAGCGCAGACGATTCCTGCCGCTATTGCGACAGGGTCCCAGAAACCCCGCGGCACATCCTCTTAGAATGTGACGCGGTGTCGAGAAGAAGGCAAACACACTTGGGGAAGCTGTGGCCCGAGGCTTCAGACATTCACTCTCTACAGCCCTCGAAACTGCTCGGTTTCATCAGACCACTGGGGCTGGACGAGGTGTTGTGATGAGCTCCGAGGGCACAATAGACCTAAGGTCGCAGTGCACATCCTCTAACAAATCTATCTATCTAGGAAACAAAACAAGCAGAGTTGATCACAAATTAATCCAGATTTCTATCAGCATCATATCGATGTTGAATTTGCGTAACTTTTCTTTATCCAAATAATGTAAAATAATAAATGAAATCTCGATCGGAGATCACTGAAACGCAGCTAGCGACTGTATACTCGAAAAAGCAATGTTGCCACTTTTTCTCATTAAACCCTGTTCGAATCCAAGAATGATAGAATACAAGATTGCGCCGTCCTGCGTGTTGACATTTGTGTACCACAAGTAAACAAAGAATAGAGCGAAAAGAAGAACGAGTTGAAACAGCCAAAGCAGTTCACTTTACTACGAAAAACGTGTTGTAATTTTGCTAAATGCGAAAATATTGCATTTTTCACCTAATCTATTAGAGAACAGTGAACATTGTAGTGCACTCCATTGCTTTGCAATTAAGGCTGCTGCAGAAAACTGCAGCAGCATCTCTGCGGGACTGATAAGCTAACTTGCTAATGGAGGCTGCGTGGAGCAGAAACAAAATCATTGTGAGGAAATGCTGTTAATATAATAATAGAGAAACATTTTGGGAACGGCTTTGCCGTGCCCTATGTACACAAAATGCACCGATTCGTCCCAGCGCTACACTTGCATCTACGCTTCTTGCATCTTGACGGTAATCGCAATTTAACACACAGCACTTCATTGTATTAGTTTTTACGCAGTCTTCAACTCAAAAATCACTCACAAATTGCAAATTAACACGATTTAAACTGATTCTTCACTTATAATTCAAATTTCTCTTTCGCAGATTTGTAAACAAAGGTTTATTTAAAAGTTACCACAACTGCCAAAATCGGCAAAACCAAAGTAGCGGTACCACTGACGGCGCCACCTTTGTTCGCTGCACCGTGGTTCGAATCGTCGAAATTTTGGAAGATCACAGGGTTGCTTTTAGCATTTAGATTCTTAATGCATAAATGGAGTTGCATTTAGTTGCATTTAGGTGACGAATTTTGTATGGATAAATGTACATTTAGAGCTAAATGCGCTAAATGTGCTTTTACGCGTAAGCAAAAACAGCCCATAAGCAAAGAACCTTATATTTGTAAAAATATGGAAGTAAACAACGAAATATTTGAATATGTATAGATTTTAATAATTAGTTAGTGATATTTTAACCAAATCAGTGTTGTACAAATGACATGTAAACAAACCAACTGACGTTTTTACAGGAAATAGTGTTTTTTGCGTTCCCGTGCACTTCTGCATCTGTTCTCCTTTTACTCTCACTAGAGAGAGTAAATTTGTAGTTTGACAGTTCCACAGGTTTTAGTCCGAAGTTCAAAGGAACAGACTAATAAGGTTCTTTGGTTACACCGCTTTTTGTTTTTGTTTGCACGTGCAAATCAGCTGATCGTTTGACACTTTTCATGAACTTGCAGGAAAAAAAAAACTCCGGACTAAATCCTGTAACTTCTGACTAGGAACAGTTGCTCAGTTACTCTCTCAAAATTGTTCCCACTTACAGGTTTTATGTCAATAGGAACGACTTCCTGTAAGTTCTGACTAAATCCTGTAAACCGGACTGCTATTGGAACACACTTTATATTTGCAAAAAAAAAATATAGGTAAACAACGAAATATTTGAATGTGTATAGATTTTAATAATTAGTTAGTGATTAGATCGAACTGCTATTGGAACAGACTACATAACTTTTGCGTTAAAAAATTTTCTCTTGCTTTCAATTTTACTCTCTATTTTTCTTTTACGGTCTGCTGCAAGTACTTACTGGAAAAGTTACTGAATGGACCTAATATTTATTCACCCCACTGAGGTTGTAGACTTCCTCCTTGTGAAGATTTTTCAAATTCACGCAACTTAATCCTACACCAACCAACTGGACTATACTATGAGGACAGCGACAAAATTCCGACTTTTAATCAGCCGGAAAAGAGGTCGCCTACCTGAAAAGCTGAATTCTCATCGGGCATCCAGTTGGGAAACAAAGATAATGACCCCACGAAAATCAACATTTTTCCGGTTGTTGTCATCAAGCTCAACTAACTGGAGACCCAGGAAGTGGGCAACTCCTACTGTGTTAGTCCCTAAGGACAGGGGTGTTAGTGCGGTATAGATGACATAGGTGTTTCGGGTCGTGGGGCGTCTCTCCGCATGCCGGGCACGTTGGTCAGATCTGCTCTGGTAAGAGTTAAGCTTACTGCAGTAGCCAGATCAATGTTGGGCTATGTAGGTGCGAGTCTTCCGAGGCAGACGAAGCTTTGTCAGGTGGTTATGCCCCCAAAACGGCATTCACAGGTCGAATTCTGTTTATGGCCTCTCGGTAGGCTTCGTCCGTCAATTCGTATGGATGTTTTCCGACATGCCTTGGCGAGGACTCTGCTGTTCGGGCGCCCGCGTCAGTGGCACCCTATTAGGAACTGCTCCTCGATGGGGAATATTTGCGCATCGTTGCGTAGATGGTGCTGTGGCGACATAAGAATGCT